ATAGGCCTCCAGCCTGTAAAGCAACTGTCTGTCTCTTACATTACCTGGCAATTTTCTATCCAGATGGCTAATTTTTCCTGTATTCCATTTGATCTAACCTTGCTAACCAGTCTACCATGCGGAACCTTGTCGAACCCCTTACTGAAATCCATAAAGATCACTTCACTGCTCTGTCTTCATCAATTTTCTTTGTCACTTCAAAAAATCTCAATCAAGTTAGAGAGACACGATTTCCCATACAAAGCCATGTTGACTATCCCTAATCAGTCCTTGCCTTTCCAACTACATGTAAATCCTGTCCCTCAGAATCCCCTACAACAACTTGTCTACCACCTGACGTCAGGCTTACCGGTCTAAGGTTCCTGGCTTTTCCTTGCCACCTTTCTTAAATAGTGGCACCATGTTAGCCAACCACCAGTTTTCTGGAACCACACCTATGGCTATCGATGATGCAAATACCTTCGCAAAGGGCCCAGCAATCACTTCCCTGGCTTTCCACAAGGTTTTGGGGTACAGCTGATCAGGTCCTGAGGATTTATCCACCTTTTATGCGTAAAGATATCCAGCACCACCACTTTTAAGTGGACACTTTCAAGATATTTATTTCCAAGTTTTCTAACTTTCATATTCTTCCCCACAGTAAACACTGCACTGGTTTTGTATCTTGCCCCATTTCCTGTGGTTCCACACTTAAGCAGCCTTGCTGATCTTGTAAGGGGCCCAATTCTCTCCCTAGTTACCCATTTTGTCCTTGATGTATTTGTAGAATCCCTTTTAGTTTTCTCCTTAACCTTATCTGCCAAAGCTATCCCATATCCCCTTTTCACCCTCATGATTTCCCTCGAGTATGAACTCTTAAGTTTGTTAATTCTGAACAACACACAAGTTTTTATTTGTATTGTCTCTCTTGCAACTGAGTTTTTTTCCTTTTTTTTTTGTCCTAACTGAAGAGTCACTCGATTTTTTTTGTGTTCTTATACATCCCATTTGTCATTTTTGGACTTGCTTGTCGCATCAAACAAATTAACTGTCCCCAATGTTCCAAACACTGGAAGTGGGTGGAGGAAGAGAATGTCAGAACGCAGATTTTCTTTTACTTGATAAAGAGGAGTTTTATTTATCTTAATTATAGTGGTTTTTTTTTCTAGTCAAAATATTTTTTGAATTCTCGCTGTGCCCCCTTAATTGGGTTAATTTTTAGCAATGGTTTCATCCGGTTGGTGAATTACAAGGTGATTGCAGACTTCATGGCTGCACCCAAAAGAGGAATGTTTAATCTTAATAAAAATAGATCCTTTTTGTTAAAATATTTAGCATTAAATACAGCATTTGGGTTTTGTAGAGGAAATGCTCCATTGATAACTGTTGGAGTACACAACTTATTTTTTACAGTGTTAAATTATCTCTCTGCCTGGATTTATTTTGGTTTTGATTAAACATTTAGTTTTCAGACACTAACTTCTTATGGCACCTTTGGTGAGCTTTGTAAAATCTCAATATTTGATTGAAATGATAATTAAAACCTTCTAGGAACATGGTATTTGAGAACCAAAGTCACAGAAAGCCGAGATATGTCATAGAAACTCCAAAACAAAATCCTTTATTTGTCTGCTTTTCAGTGGTTTTTGGAGGCTTTTTTTACAGTTGCTGAGCAGAAATTCACCGTTTCGTATGTGCCCTTCCCTTTTTATCGTATCATATTATACCACTTACTTTGTATTGGGGGGAAAAAATCAATTTTTAACCTTTTTTTTTGGTAAAAGGCAGGCTTTTGACTACAGCCTCCACTTTAGAGTTATTGGTCATATGAACACATCAATCCACTGCAACTTTCACAGGCCTGACAGGGACTCTAGGCTACAAATCGTAGAACAAACCAATTCATTGACTTATGCAGTGGACAGGATCCTATGGGACACTGACAGCTCAAAATATTGCGAAACTGTCTATAACTCCCAATTCTATACTTCCATATAACCCACTTTCTCCAATAATGTATTTCCTTAAAATAGTAAAATTAGCAATATTATTTGACATTTTGTCAAAAAACTTTGAATGTCCATTTGTATCATATTCACGACATTTCTCTGTCCATCATTTCTGCCATTCCCTCTGAGACAACCTCAGGTTTGTTGTGCAAAATGTTCATTCTGAAACTTAATTTGGCTGCTTATAAATATATTCTAATCAAATAACTATTTAACTTCTGTTTATAATTTCATTTTTAATTAAAGGTTCTAAAATGTTGGGTGGATGCCAGTGTTCTAATTTTACTAGAAGAGTTTAGTTAGTTCTGGAGCACAAGTCTTCAGTACTATTGTTGGAATGTTTTCAGGACCCATAGCCTTTGCAGTATCCAGTGCCTCCAACCATTTCTTGATATCGCATGTAATAAATTGATTTGGACAGAGATTGGTATTTGTGATGCTGGATACCACTGGAGAAGTCTGAGACGGATCATTCACTCGGCACGTCTGCTGAAGATTACTGCAAATGTTATCTTTTGCACTAATGTGTTGACTCTTCCATCGTTGAGGATGGGGATATTTGTGGAGCCACTGCTGCCTCTGGTGAGTTGTTTAATTGTCCACCCCCATTCATGACTGGATATGCAGGACTGCAGAGCTCAGATCTGATCAGTTCATTGTGCGATCACTTAGCTTTGTCTGTTCCATGCTTATGTGGTTTGGCATGCATGTAGCCATGTTTGGTAGCTTTATCAGGCTGACACCTAAGTTTTTGGTATGCCTCCTGCCGCTGCAATTTCCATTGAACCTGGATTGATCCCCTGGCTTGAGAGTAATGATTGTAAGAGGGGAATCGCTAGGCCATGACATTGCAGACTGTGTTTGAGTAGTTCTGCTGTTGATGGCCCACGGTACCTGATGAATGCCCAGTCTTGAATTGCCAAATCTGTTCAAAGTCTGTCCCATTTAACACGATAGTGCCACACAACATGGAGGGCATTCTCAATGTGGGGGTGGGACTTTGTCTCCACAGGGACTGTGTGTTGGTCATTCTTGCTGATACAGATACTTCTCTTATAATGCGATAGTTGCGTATTTGTGTGACCTTGCGCTATTGAAAGTTGCCGTAGAAACTCACGCATTAAGGAAATTGCTGTAGAAAGATCACTATACCTGTAGAAAGTTTGCATTATCCAAACAGAGCTCACTATTCATCAGTGGTGTTACAGCCAATTTATGTTAATGAAACGCACATTATAGCAGAACTACCTGTACTGTCATGGGCAGCTGCATCTGCAGCCGGCAAAGATGAGGTCATGTATGTTTTTGCCCCTCTCTATAGGGTCCCTCGCCACCTGCTGCAAATTCAATCTAGCAGCCTAGGCTAGGACCTGAATGTAGTACTGCTGCCAAACCACTCTTGATGGTGGATGTCACAATCCCCCACCAAGAGTACATTTTGCACCCTTACCAGCGTCAGTGCTTCCTCCCAAGCGCTATTCAACGTGAAGTACTGATACATCAGGTATGGTATGTGGTAATCAGCAGGAGGTTTCCTTGTCCATGTTTGAGTCCGAAGTGTCATGGCTTCAGGTTAATGTTAAGGACTCCCAAGTCAATTTCCTCCTGACTCTGTATACAACTGCTTCACCACCTCTGGTGGGTCTGTCTTGTTGGTGGGGCAGGACATGCCCAGGATGGGACATCCGTGAGATATGATTCTGAGAGTATGACTGACTATGTAAAGCTATTACTTGAGTAGTCTGTGAGACGGTTCTCCCAAATTTGGCACGAGCCCCCAGATGTTAGTAAGGGTCATCTTTTTGCAGATTTAATTTCTTCATTGAGGCTTCGTAGCAGTTAGTGCAATTGAGTGGCTTCTTCAATCATTTCAGAGGGCAGTTAAAAGTCAACCACGATGCTGTAGGTCTAGAGTCGCATGTTGTCAAACCCTGAAGGACATTAGTGAGCCTCATAGGTTTTTCTGATGATTGACAATGATTACGTGGTCATCAGTGGATTCTTAATTCCAGAAATTTTTATTGAATTCAAGTTCCACCATCTGCCATGCCAGGATTCAAACCCAGGTCCCCAGAACATTAGTTAAGTTTCTGGATTTATAGTCTAGCGGAAATACCACCAAGCTGTTACTTCCCCTAGTAATAATATTAAGGGTTCTTGGTTTTGGAGTGTTAAGCATAGAACTGGAGTACAAGGAGGCGGTGTTGTAGTACAGTGGTGGTATCCCTACCTTTTGAGACAGGAGGTCTGGGTTCATGTCCCATGTGCTCCAGAAGTGTGTCATTAATCCGAGTGTGTTGATTAGAAAACATTTGGAACTGGAGAATAACATTATTGAAGCTCAAGCACGGAAAGACATCTGACTTTGTATGTCCCGCACCAATTATTATGTAAAGGAGCTTCCAGCAAAGGAATTACTTACTGTTTAATTCCTTCAAAACTAAAAATTCTGACGGAATTAAAAAATGGCTGGTAATGAAATTACAAAATACAGGGATGAACTTGGATAACAAATAATTCAGCAAATCTGATTATGCTGTGCTTTTTTTTTAGGACAAACAAATTCTCATCTGTGAAAATAAATCAGCCAGTTGTGATGTGCAAATGAGTGTCAATTAATTTTCATTGATATGTAGTGAAGAAATGGGCATAATAATGCTTGTTTGTGATCTTTGAAATATGAATACATAACGGACTGAATAACCTTTTCATTCCATTGCGAAATCGTTATTGTGAAAGTTAAAACCTCTTGGAAAATGCAAGATAATACAGTTAATTTTCAGCTTTTAACTGGATGCATACTGCTTTCTTAAACAATTTCGATGCAGTGTCTCATTGCCATCTATCATTTGTGACGCAGCAAAATGTTGCTTATGCAATTTTTTAACATGTATTTGTCTCCCAGTTGAGTGAAAGTCGTTGGGGAGCTAAGAGTAAACAAAATATTTAATGCAGATTATATTGAACATATTTAATTCACGATTAACTTTGTATTATGAAATTATTTTTCAGCTGGGGAATGGCTGTTAATGTGTATTCGACATCAGTAACTAGTGAGAACATGAGCAGGCATGACATTATGGCCTGGATAAATGACACAGTATGTTTAAACTACACAAAAATTGAACAGCTTTGCTCAGGTAAGAATGAAATCTCTTAAAAAGAAATCCCATTTTAAATATGCTTTTTTTATATGGTGGTGATAAGCTCAACATTTGGAGCTTGTTATGTGTGGTCTCTGACTATTATTTCATAATAGGTGAAGCATGCATTCATAAAGTAAAATGCTAATCATTGCGCTTTGTTTAGGAATTATTTAATGTTGACGTAGTATATTTGGAATACTTAAAGAATGTTGCTCACGTGAATATTCATTATAAACTTAGTGCTCACTCTTGGTATAGTTAAATTGAATATTAAACCTTGGTGCAAAATGGAAATCATTGAATCTAGAGGTTGACAGTATTAGACAAGAACTTTCAAAAGTTGATTGGGGATGGATATTCACAGGTAATGGGAAGCCTTCAAAAGTTAGACCACGAGAGTCCAGAAACAGTGTTTTCCTGTTGGTAGGTGTAGGGAATGCTAGATGACTAGAGAAATTGAGATTTTTGTCAAGAATAAGAAGGAAACACGTGTCGGGTATAGACAGCAGGGATCAAGTGAATCCCTAGAAGAGGATAAAGGCAGTAGAAGTATACTTGAGAGAAATCAGGAGTGCAAAAAGGGGACATGAGATACCTTTGGCAAATAGGGTTAAAGAGAATCCTAAGAGATTCTACAAATACATTAAGGACAAAGGATTAACTGTGGAGGGAATAGGGCCCCTTTAAAGATCACAAGGTGTCTACATGTGGAACCGCAGGAGATGGGAAAGATACTAATCCAGTATTTTGCATCAATGTTTACTGTGGAGAAGGATATGGAAGATAGAACCTGGGGAAATAAATAGCGACATCTTGAAAAATGTCCAAATTACAGAGGAGGGGTAGCTGAAAATATTAAAAATGGATAAATGCCTGGAACCTGATCGAGTGTACCCTAGAATTCTGAGAAGTGAGGGAAGTAATTGCTGGCACCCTTGCTGAGATATTTGTATCATCGATAGCCACAAGTGAGGTGCCAGAAGACTGAAGATTGACTGACTAACGTTGTGCCACTATTTAAGAAAGGTGGTAAGGAAAAGCCAGGGAACTATGGACCAGTGAGCCTGACATCAGTGGTGGCCAAGTTGTTGGATGGGTTCCAGAGGAACGGTGTTTACATGTATTTGGAAAAGCAAGGACTGATTAGGGATAGTCAACATGGCTATGTGCGTGGGAAATTGTCTCTCTAACTTAGAGTCATAATTGTAGATTTGTACAGCATGGAAACAGATCCTTTGGTCCAACTCGTACATGCCAACCAGTTACCCTAAATTAATCTAGTCCCATTCGCCAGCATTTGGCCCATATCGCTCCAAAGTTTTTCTATTCATATACCCATCCAGATGCTTTTTGTGTTGCAATTATACCATATCCCACCACATCCTCTGGCAGTTCATTGCATACACACACCACCCTCTGTGTGAAAAAGTTGACCCTTCGATCCCTTTTTAAATCTTTCCCTGCTCACCTTAAACCTGTGCTCTCCAGTTTTGGACACCGCTACTCCGGGGGGAAGACCTTGGCTATTCGCCCTATCTTCGCCCCTCATGACCTTAAACCTCTATAAGGTCACCCCTCAGCCTCCAATGCTCTAGGGGAGAATAGCCGCAGCCTATTCAACTTCTCCTGACAACTCGAGCTCTCCAACCCTGGCAACATCCTTGTAAATCTTTTCTGAACCCTTTTGAAGTTTCCTGACGTCATTCCTATGGCAAAGAGACCAAAACTGAACACAGTATTCCAAAAGTGGCCCGACCAGTGTCCTGTACAGCTGTACATGCCGTCAATGTACTGACCGATTAAAGGCAAGCATACCAAACGCCACCTTCACTATCCTGTCTACCTGCATGTCCACTTTCAGGGAACTATGAACCTGCATTCCAAGATCTTTGTTCAGCAACATTCCCCAGGACCTTTACCATTAAATGTATAAGCCCTGCCCTGATTTGCCTTTCCAAAACGCAGTACCTCAGATTTATCTAAATTGAACTCCATCTGCCATTCCTTGGCCCACCTGCCCATCTGATCAAGGACCTATTTGACTCTGAGGTAACCTTCTTGGCTGTCCACTACACCTCCAATTTTGGTGTCATCTGCAAACTTACTAACCATGCCTCCTATGTTCACATCCAAATCATTTTATATAACTGACAAAAAGCAGTTGTTTGAGTTTTTTGTAGAAGTGGTGAAGAAGATTGATTAAAGGCAGAGCGGTGGATGTTGTCTATATGGACTTCAATAAGGCATTCAACAAGGTTCCGTGACTGGTTAGCAAGGTTAGATCATGTGGAACACTAGCCATTGGATACACAACTGTTTCAAAGGCATGAGACAGAGGGTGGTGGTAGAGGGTTGCTTTATAGATTGGAGGCCTGTGACCAGTGGTGTGCCACGAGGATCAGTGCTGCCTCCACTGTTTTCTCATTTATATAAATGATTTGAATTTGAACGTAGGAGGTATGGTTAGTAAGTTTGCAGGTGACACAAAAATTGGTGGACAGCGAAGCAGTTTACCTCCGAGTACAATGGGACCTTAATCATGTGGGTCGATAGACTGAGCAGTGGCAGATGGAGTTTAATTTGGATAAATGTGAGGTGCACACTTTTTTTGGTTTGCCAAATCAGGGTGGGACTTGTACATTTAATGGTAACTGGGAGTGTTGCTGAGCAAAGGGACCTTGGAGCGCAGGTTCATAGTTCCTTGAAAGTGGAGACAGGATAGTGAAGATAAAAACCAAAAGAACTACGGATGCTGTAAATCAGGAACAAAAACAAAGGTGCTGGAAAAGTTCAGCAGGTCTGGCACCATCTGTGGAGGAGAAAACAGTTAACATTTCGGGTCTGGGTTCTGAGGAAAGGTCACCGGACCCGAAACGTTAACTCTGTTTTCTCCTCCACAGATGCTGGGAGTAGTGAAGATGATGTTTGGTGTGTTTGCCTTTATTTGTCAGTGTATTGAGTATAGGAGTTGGGAGGTCATGTTGTGGCCGTACAGGTCATTCGTTAGGCCCCTGTTGGAATACTGCATGCAGTTCTGGTCTCTCTGCTATAGGAAGCATGTTGTGAAACTTGAAAGGTTTCAGAAAAGATCTACGAAGATATTGCCAGGGTTGGAAAGTTTGAGCTATAGGCTGGGGCTATTTTCCCTGGAGCGTCGGAGGCTGAGGGGTGATCCTGGTTTATAAATTCATAAGGGGAGCAAATAAGGTGAATAGTCTTTTCCCTAGGATAGGGGAGTCCAGAACGAGAGGGCAAAGGTTTAAGATGAGAGGGGTAAGATTCTAAAAAGGGATATATGGAGCAGCTTTTTCACTCGGACGATGTTGTACGGAATGAGCTGCCAAAGGAGGTGGTGGAGGCTGGTACAATTACAACTTTTAAAAGGTATCTGGATGGGGATATGAATAGGAAGGGTTTAGGAGGGATTTAGCCCACACATGGCAAATGGGACTAGAGTAATTTGGGATACCTGGTCAGCATAGACAAGTTGGACCAAAGGGTCTGTCTCCCTGCTGTACAGCTCTATGACTCTCAGGATCAGACTGTTCAGAACAAAGCAGAATGAGACTCCCTGGTTTTGGTTTGTAGCATTGTGGTGTTTGGTTTTGGTTTCATTTAAACCTATTCCTACCTGATTTTTTTTTTCCCTCCAAATATTTAAACATTCCAGATTTAGGACAGAAAAGCAGTATAAGAGTGAGAATTCTCCTTTATGTCAGACAATTGTGTTCAGGTGAGCAGTGTAAAAATAGACTGTATAGTGAAACTCAAACTGTGCCATTCCTCAGAAAATCAATCTTGCACATTTCCACTGCTGCTTTACTTCCGAAAGAAGAAGGGAGCTCCACATTTGAGAATGCTGCAGATTCGTACTTCCATTCTGACAGTTCTTTCATTGTGCATCAATCTTTTCACAGCAGTCAGCTTCTGTTTTCAGAAGCTGCAGACAAATTTGTGGTGGGTCAGAAATGGGGTTGGGTGTGGCGATGCAGTCATCATTATGACAGGGTTATATTGTAGGTCTCGCAATAGCCAGCAGGAGATAGAAGAGCGACATGTAAGCAGATAAGGGAAAGAATTAAGAAACATGCAGTGGGGTTAGCATTGCTGCCTCACAGTGCCAGGGACGTGGGTTTGATTCCACCCTCAGGTGACTGTCTGTGGAGTTTATGCATTCTTCCCATGTCTGCATGGGTTTCCAATCCGAAGACATGCATGTTAGGTGGATTGACCATGCTAAATTTCCCATTGTGTCCCAGATGGGCAGGCTAAGTGGATTAGTCATACGAAATGTAGGGTTACAGGGATAGAGGTAGGAGGGTGGGTTTAGATGGAATGTTTTTAAGAGGGTCAGTGTAGACTTGATGGGCCAAATGGCCTGCTCCACACCGTTGGGATTCTACGAACAGACTTGATGTCGTGGGTGATTTTAATTTCACTAATGCTGACAAGGACACCCTTAGTGCAAGGGGCTTAGATGGGACAGAATTTATTAGGTGCAACATGGAGAATTTTTTTGAAACACTGCATAGATAGTCGAACTAGACCTTTTATAATGGGTAATGGAGCCTGGCCAGGTGATCAGAATTTCAGTAGGGAAGCATTTTGGGAACAGTGGTCATACATCAGCTTTGAAGATGTGATATGGCTAGGGATAAGATTGGTCCTCAGGTGAAAATGCTAATTTGGGGAAAGGCTAATTACAATGGTATTAGGCAGGAACTTAATAAATTAGACAGGGAGTGGCTGTTTGAAACAAAATTGGCTTTGCCGTAGGAGGCAGAGGGGTGTTTTTCTGACTTAGTGTGTGACTTGTGGTGTTCCATAGGGATCAGTGCTGGAAGCTGTTTGTAACATATATATTTGGAGGAAATTTCTCATTAAGAAATTTGCAGATGACATGAAAACTGGAGTTGTGGATAGTGAGGTAGGATATCAAAGGATATGCAGAGTATAGATCAGTTGCAAAGTTGGGCAGAGAAATGGCAGAGAAA